GGACGGACCGGGTCCGTAGGGAACCCTACCGGGAACGTGGTCTCTCATATCGGATAGGGTATGGAGACCTTATGTGTTTTGGCGCCCATACCGGACGGGGTATTGAGGACGATCCGTTTCACCCTCATACCGGACGGGGTATTGAGGTTTATGGTTTTTAGGCACCCATACCGGACGGAGTATGGGGACGGTTCTGAAATTAAATTATTAATGTTAATGGTTCACGTGTAGCGGGAACCCCCTATGAATCCCCATGGATACTAGTAGGCTGGTAAAAGAAGAAATTTGTTATCTGATTATTGAAGTCCAAAAGTATAACATGTGTTATGTTACACAGTGTATATGAATTTATGATAGTTATAATGTTATTGTTTTCATATGTTATTTTCATTAATCTCACCGAGGTAAGTGGACAGTAAAGGTTTTTATTATTAATAAATGAGTTTGTTATAAGTTATGCTCCATTTGTCGTTTTTTTTTTCTACCAACCTTTACTTCTGTGGCAGTAAGATAGTGTGATATCTTTACTGGGTTAGTGTAGCTCATTCCTTACTTAACCATTTCAGATCAGGAAGACGTGGTTCCCGAGTCCGTTCCGCTGGAAGACGGCGAGTTAGACGCTTAAAGATTTTATAGTTCTATTTATAATTTTTATTTCGAGTATTTCTTTTAATTAACTTATTCTTTCAGACGTTGAATACGTTTATGGTTATTGTGTAAGGGATGTCAATCAGAATTTTTATTTCGCTTCCGCATTTAAAATTTTTAATATATACATTTTCATTTAAATTTCCGGAGCCATTACAATTGGAGTTTTCATTCTCACTCAACCCTCTCCCATTTTCAGCCCATACACTGCCACCTGTGGTTCCTTCCTTTTCCCACAACAATCTCATTACACTGTTCCTCAGCAACAACCTCCTCTGCATTCCCTTCCCGAACAACAACCAAAGGCAAGATAGCCTCCCCCTCGACCTCCTCTGGATTATTGACTTCCTCATCTTATATCTCCTCCATCGACGGCACAAACTCTCCCTAACCTCCTTCCTCTCCCTACCGACTGCATTCCCCAACTCTCTGTTGCCATATTCATCACCAGAACTCCTCACCAATGTTTCCTCCGTCACCCTCGTCTCAAACCCTTTCACCCTTTCTGCTTTCCTGATTCTCAGACCAGAACCTTTTTGTTTTCCCTGGGCCAAGGGCCTCTAGGTTCTCCTAAGCAAGGGTTTGCTCTCCATAACCCATTTCCCCTTCTCAACCCATCTTATGCTCCACTTTGGTCCCTTCTATAAATTGTGTGGCCAAATGAAAATGCGTTTACCAACTGAAGCCCAAAGTTCTAAGCGGTCCCACTAAAACAACACAATTCAGTTGCTTTTTGAAATTAAAATTTTACCAACCCAGGTTAGGTTCAGGTGTCTTCTTCTCTACCCGACTCCTGTCTCCTCCTTTTTCACATCCACAAACTGCCTCATCTCTAGTCTTCCAGCATGACCCTTCAGCTCTTCACTACAGTTCAGGCATCTCAGCAAACACTTTGGCGCCCCTGTGCCACTGGAAAGGCAATCTCCTCTTTTACCAGCTTTAGGCTTTTCTGGGATTGGCTCCATGGAGCTCAAATGGTCCTTCACATTGCCTCAAAGAAAGCCTGCTTGTGGACCCTCGAGGATGTAAATCTTTCTTCGCACTTCCCACTCCCTTATGTAAAGACAATGAATCTCCCACATTTATTATCTTCTATGGCCACCCACAAGGACATGTTGTTTTTGACCATACTTTGCACCCAAAAGTCTTCTGCTTTCATCCAATAGAACTCCTGCAGTCCAACAACCACTCTAACCTCCTCTCTCCAGAAGCAAATCGACAACCTGAACCCTCTTTCACTCTCACTCACCCTTAAACCTTCACCTCTCCTACCTACAATCCCAACATCAAAATATTTTATTTTGATTACAAGAAATCTCCTAGTCAGAGAATGCACCATGACCACTTCAGGTCTCACTATTTTCACAAAGTAGTAGCAAGACACTAACTAACTCTCTCTCTCTCTCTCTCTTTCAGAAAAAACTAGACAATTATTATTTTTTTAAAATAAGAAAAAAGGGGGATCTTTGGGGATAACCAAGACAATCATTATGGTCCTTGAGATGTGAGGCCCAACCTGTTACATATTGGCATATTCAGTGGTTCTTGTTTTAACCTTTATTTCATACACCTGAGCAGCCTCCTTGGCCTCAGAGTAAGTTTGTTGAATAGCCCCTAAATACCTTGTGTTGTTGGGAGAAACATGCAGGTATCATTGATTTCAGGTGTCATGGAACTCCACAACCATGACATAATAAGAGAGTCCTCTTTATCCTACAAATTGGAATCCGAGTCTCCTTGTTTAGGGTCAGTTCCCAATAGGTGCTTCAATTTTCCCTTGCATTTGAGAATGGTTCATAATAGTTACAACCAGTTCAGGCAGTTTTTTCCATTCAGACGATATGTTGCTGGAATGTTTTAAACTTCACCTTTTAACTAAATTTTGTTTGGGCAAGAGTTTGAATTTTGGTTGAACTAATTTCTATGATTTCAAAAATGACTTTTCAGTTAGGGTTTAAATCTGATGACTGTTTGTAAACAGATTATGGTGAGAGAAGAAGATGCACCAATGAGGGTCCAATACCGAAGGTGCGGCATCTTAAAAGGAAATATTGG